ATATCATTTTGAGGGCCAGCCAGATAGTTGGCGACCCCACGGAGTCCTCCCGTACGGCGAACATGGATTTTATTACACTGGCCAGGCGGGCAGGACGATGCCCCCGGCACCAGGACCGTACGATCAGCCGGGAAGTGCTTTTCCCAGCTACGCAGGGAAGTCGATACCACCCCGCGCACGCGTACCATTACCTTATGGTCAGCAGGGGTATGCTGATGATGAGTCGTACGGCGAGAGGGAGCCGGGTCCAGAGGACTATGAGTCCGACGACTCTTCAGATGATCAGGACCACACACAGCCTACGGGTCCTATCCACCCTCGTCCTCCTGTACAGCCAGTTCGTCCGGTACAGCCAGTTCGTCCGGTACGGCCGGTTGTACAGCATTTTCGTCCAGTACAGCCGGTTCTACAGCATGTTCGTCCGGTACATGTTGTTCGTCCTACACAGCCTGCTCCTCAACGACAGGCTGGGGGGCGTTTTGGCCCATCTACATCATCATCAGGTAAATAATTTACGTATTGTGTTGTTTAACATAAATTATTTTCACTTAATCATAACAAATTATCGGTACTGTTAGAAAAGTATTATCGGCCTGCTCCTCAACTACGGTATAATTTTTTTGTAATTTAGGGTAAGTTGAATACATTGTAATTAATTATAAATTCAAAAAATAATATTAATAATTATAAATTATATATGCTTATAATAATAATGTAAAGTGTAAAATGTAACGTAAGTAATGAAATATGTTTTATTAAATATATTTTATTTAATGCATCTGCCAGCAAGTCAATATATACAGATATGTTGTATTTTAATGCAGGTACTAGCAAACGAGCTAGGACCGATGATGGTGCACCCTGGATCGTTAAAGGCCCAGTGCCCGGTGGGCCCAATGATGGGAGTGTCATCCCTAGCTTTCTTGGGCATGTCGCCTCCCGCATGTGGAGTGGGAATTTGAGGGGGCCGCTGAAATGCCACAACAGAGTGCGAGCGATCGAGAATCTGAAGGCTTGGCGTGAAGAGATGTCTTCCGATGCTCTTGCTCTTCTCGACCAGACCAGGCTGTCACATTTGGTCGACTCCATACACACCCAGGTGGACACCCCACTCCTTTCTGCTTTTGTGGAGCGATGGCAGCCGGATACTAACTCATTTCACCTGCCTTTTGGTGAAATGAGCATCATGCTGCACGACGTCCGGGCCATTTTGGGCGTTCCAGTGGAGGGAGTCGTGGTCGCTGAGGACTCGGATTCGGAGGCCTGCCATGGGCTCTGCATGTCGATACTTTCGGTCACCAAGGGCGAACTCATGAGTTCGTTCTGGCAGCGTGGTTCGTGTTAGAGTAGTATACCCAGCGTTCCAATCGGATTGGACGTATTCTACTTGTAAATACGATCTATTGGAATTATATTGTAAATAAGGCAACACTTTATTTTAAGAGTACGCGTTTATATTATAAATGCACTTAAGATAAAGTCCCTAGATCACTTATGGTTATAAGGTATGGTTGCGCATAGAGATGGTGATCATGGAACATACCTTGAAAGCCGTGATCTTAAATACAGTTCCAAGTCGAAGGATGTTTCGAGAAGGGATATCAAATAATCCATAAAAGACTTGCACATAGTATGTATGCTTGTTGGACAAGAATGTTGCATTCCATCAACATTAGCGTATGACGCAAGTACATTTATGTGGGTGCTTGTTAGAGAACAAGTTCACTGAACGTGACCGTATGAAAATTTTTAATGAAGAATTTATTCAGTCGAATAAGAATTTTCATGTTACAATAGTACATGATTAATCCTTAGACTTGAGGCACAATAGTAACTTTGTGCATATTACATTCTACTTTGATTTATCCTTTTGGTAGCTAGCACTATCGTATAAAGGAATATTTTGGGTATTATGTTAATATATATGGAAGTTTGTTAGTGGCCAACAAAGGATTCGACACTTATGAAGATAAGTGAATTTCCTATGTGTTTCAATGTTAGTAATTCAAAGTCCTTGGCCAAGGCAGAGATGAATGGAGATTCATACCCGGATTACTACACTTTGAAATAGAATCATAGTATTAAGTCAATTTGGGTTTCGACAAAATCATACCCAAGACTTAATCGGGAAATTAGATGTCGAAAGGATTCTACATGTATGCACTTGTAATCGGAATAGGTTTACTCGCTATTCACTTAATACTAGATTCATGCTACTTGCTAGGTGTTCCCATGATATGTGGGTTCTTGAATTAAAGGGTTAATTCATGAATAAAAGTTAATGTGATTAACTCAAATTACAAAGTGTTGTAAACCCACTACTAGTATTAAGGTGAACCTAAAAGGTCACACCTATTATGAACAAAGGTGAAAAAAGTATTTCTAAAGAGTTAGAATTAATTGACAATATCTAATTTGATTAGATGTCAATTAAAGGAATATATTAATCAATAAGATTGGTTAATTATATTTTGGATATTACTTTAGTAAATAAGGTAATTACTAAATTAATATATTGAAATTTAAAATTGGATTTTAAATTTCCAAACCAAAATAATAATCCCCTCTTTATATAATTTGAGAATGCGCTGAGCCTACGTGGCAAACTCTCATGCTTCAGAATCTTATTTGGCAAAAAATTATGCTTTGGAGTTAGGCTTGGATATAAATTAATATTTGTATTATTCTATTTTAATATCATTTCCTATTATAACCATTGAATTGTATATATATTTTAAAAGTTAATAACTTTTGTATTTCTTATCGGTTTTACATATATAATATATCAAATTAATCATCTTTTGATGAGCTTCGATTTGACATCCATATTGTATATATAAAATAAATAAATTATATTTATCTTTATAATAATAATAAAATTATTTATTAAAATTATTAGAAAATAAAATTATTTATCAATTAATATATTTATGTTTAATGTAGTTATATGTTATAAGGTAGAAAATTTATTGATACGACAGTTAATGTATTAGGCATCTAATTAAGTAAAAAAATTAATCTATTTACTTAATATTAAATAAACATATTATACACGCATATACATATCACCATATTATTTCTATCTATTTAAGATATATATTTTTATACTTATGTAATAGTAAATAATATCGATATTTTTATATAATATAAGTGAAAAAATTCAACACGGGTTGACATTTTCATTTAATGTACGGGTGTTTAATTATTGTGATTAAAAAAATATAATTTGACAATTTAACTAAATCCAAAAGTAATTTTTTATATAAAATTAAATTATTTTAGTTTTTAAAAAAATAAAAAATTTAATATTTTTACAAAAACTTTCTAATTCAACACCCGTGTAATACACGGGAATTGTACTAGTAATATGATTATTATTATATGGATGAAAATTTGGAAATGAATATAATAATAAAGTCTTGGAATAGATTCTCAAGATTTATTATTCTATTATTTTTAAATATGATTTAAAGATTAAAATTATAATTATGAATATAATAGATGGTGGTTGATGGTGGTTATGAACAACCTCACATTGTTTAATATATATAAAGTCAAAAGTTAGTAATAGTATTTAAATAAAATTAGATTTTATTTAAATATTACTAAATATTGATTATTTTATGCTAAAATGTTTAGTATAAATATGTGCAAAATGGTTTTGCATTAGAAGTGGATTCATCCATAAAATTTCTAAGTGTTAGAAAGAAGAAAGAGTTCTTCATAAACATCAAGAAAGAGTTCTTGAAATTTCCAAATAAAATTCATACATATTCCTATACGAGAAAACCGAGTCATTCCTACTAGCGAAGGAAGGTCGTCGGAACCGGGCTTCATAGGGTGGATACGTTTAGAGGGAATACATTTGGATTCCTAAAGTGAGTAACCTCAATCAGTTGAAGTTATCAAACCGGGAACCGATTCCCATAATCCACATCGTCGTTGAAGGAGTTCAAGACATACGGTAAATACTTTATATTTGTATTTACTTTATTGTAACAAATCAAAATTTGTATATGATGCATGTTTTAAAGATGACGATCAGTTAATTCGCAATTAGTATGTACGGGTATTGTATTTATACGATAAATACTTACTT